CACAAGAGCTAAATATCAGTTTTCTCACCTTCCATCGGTGGGAACTAGTCACATGCTCACATAAGGATGTTAGGGTAGCTGGGAAACGTAGTCTCTGCCTGGGCAGCTGCCTCCTGGTGACAGTATAGAATGCAGAACACAGATTTTGGTGGGCACACCCAAGGAGTATATGAGAATACACTAATACACCAACTGTAAAATTCTATATAATTTTTTTATTAGGATCTAATAGTTAAGTATATAGGTACTAGTGTCAGTAGTGAATGTTCTTTGAGGTCTTCTGTATTTTTTTATTCTGTCATGACCAAAACATCATCAACTTTTAAGAGTTATCCAAGGCTGTAATCTATGAATGTAAAACCATTTACTTCCTTTAAAAATATATCAGCTTTGGATCTAGGATGTTTTACACAATTCTGTACAATAACTGACAGCAATCTAAACTTACATATATTATTTTTTAAATATAATTCATATTGTTCTTTTTCTCAGGAATTATTTTTCAGTGTTCATCTTTTTACAAGTTTAGTGACAACAATTTTTTCCAATATAATGCACAAGTAATATATTACTGTGGCTTTAGATTCTTGTAATATATATAATGAAATATCTGAGACCTAAAGATTTTTTAATTAATTAGAATTTTTTAATTTCTAAAGATACCTGATGCAGTTTTTACAGAAAGTGCCATCAATATATAATAAAAATAGAATTTGTCTTGAAGACTACAAAGATTTGGGTGGGTTCCTGCTAATATGTGATCAGAGCCTCACTGGATTTCCAAATGCCTAATTATAAAATGCTTGAAGTGATAGTTAATAAAATTCATTAATGAGAAAAAAATTTTTAAGGGTATAGTTCCAAAGTTATGTAAGAGGGAACTCTATATATCAGTGGGAACAAACTCCTTGTAATTTTCTCTTAAACATGTTTTGCAATAGTTACTTTATATTACTAATCTGTTCTCATCTCATTGATGACTGAAAAGATTGTCTGAAGAGATTACCTGCTGCCTCTACGGGATGTGGTAGCTTTGTTGTAATTTTATTGACACAATTCACTTTCTGTTCTTACCTTTTGTTTTCAGTCGAGATTATTTTCTAAGTATAAATGTTTTATGTCATTACTACTTGCAGTTTATGGCCAATTGTAAAATTTTCCAGTATTTCAAAATTACTGGTGCCAGAAACAGATTGAATTAACATACATTTACTTATTTGTCTTTATTCTCTGGTTCATATGAGTATCATGCACATAAAGATTATCCCCCCACCAAAAAAAGACATTGGAAGTTAATTATGTTGGTTCATTATTCTGCAGCTTTATCTTAAACATAATAAAATAATACATGCAGTCTTGTGTATTCACAATGATATATAAATAGTGCCATTTACAATGGAAGACTAACAGAAGAACCTCTTTCATCATCATAGACTGTTGTAAGAATGAATTTCTACTAAACTAGCATACCTTTTGTGTTTAAACCACTTCTCTTCAAGCTGCCCTAAATTTTACTTTGAAAGAAAGCATTTTGCATTAAAAGGTAAGAAACATAAGGAGGGTGATTATAATAGGATTTAAATAATTCACTTGGATTCTTTGCCAATAAAATAAAACATGTTCTCTTATTTTTTTTTTCTTAATAAGCTCTAAAATATGTCTTTCAATTTACTATTATTATAAAAGAAAAAATAAAACACTGTCATCCTTCCAGGTCGAATATTGCTGTTTTCTAACAACAGTTTGGTAATCATTCAGAAGCAAGTGGTATTATGCTTTTTAGCTTTTCAAATATATCTGAACTGCTGTTGATTGCTCTCCAAATCAGGTCAGACCCACTCTCTGCAGGAACATTTGCCGGAGATACTGTATGTTCAGATGGAAGATTTTCATATTGCATAGTCAGCCTCATTTATTTTCCAGACTTCTAAATTTTTCATACTAAGTAGCAGCATCTCACTTTATGAACCATGGGGTCTTTATTAATTAAACAGAGTCAACAAGGCTGATTTATTCTCCCTTCTCAGTTGAATTACCAAACACACAAATCAGAGAGGAAATATTCCTAATACTAGAATGTTCTCCAAGCCAGTAAATGTGGGATTATCTCATCCTACCGATTATGTCAAAGCTCTTAGTTACAATGCTCACTAGGACATAAAATTGAGTGGTATACACACAAATGGCCCCATTCCAGCATCATAGGAAGAATTCCAACTTTTTCTTGCAATAATCAGAAAATTCTAATTATCAAAAAAGAAAAACCAGTCCTGATCATTTTTTGAATATCTGCTCTACATGCATTGCGTGAGTTTTAGAAGCATTGGTTCTGGATGTTTTTACAAAAGGCCCAGGTGTGAAATGTGTACTCGAGGCATAGGACACTATCCCTCTGTTGCTTATTTTTTTCTAGCAAGTAGCTGTTATAATTGCATGTTTGGTGCTCAGGTGTGTGTTTTATAAACATGCACAGAGAAGTATATTGTGATCATAAGATTACTCAATTAATATTTTATGGTATTACTTTGGATTAAGGAGAAAGATCAGATGTTGATTTGTTGATTTAAAAGTAATTAATGAAGGTTACTGGCAAGGATGACTTTCTGGTGGAACTTTCTAATATTCATTGTTCAGGGTCTATAACTACATTTTTTTCTTGGACATTTTGCTTTGCTTATTTTAAATTATCAACATAATGGAATGTCCATAAATGGGCATTTATAATATTTCAAGCATGAGAACATTGTTTTTTAAAAAGTCAAATAGGAAAGTGTGCATCCAAACTTATTTCTAAGGTGATTTTTCTTGTCTTTCTTCTTTCCCACCTCCCCAGTTAGGGGACATTATAGGGAAGGGGCAATTTATACTAGTTTAAGTTAAAGACACTTTTTGGGCTAACATATTATAAATGTGCTGATGAACATTAAATATACTGAGATTTTTAAATTAGCATAACCGTCTCTTCAAGCATCTGCCTTTTGATTTTAACAGGTACTTTGCACAGGATGACGCGTCCTCATTTCACCTTGCAGTGGCATCCTGGCCCTCTTACGCTACACGCATTAGTATTTCTTTAAAACCACTTTCAATTTAGGCAGGCTCCAGCTTTATAAAGACCTGAAAATGAAGTTAACCTGTGTAGAGTCAAATGGTTTAGTAAGTTTAGCCTCCATAATAAGAAATTCCATTAAACCATTTTAAAGAGATAATAGTAATGTGGATTACCGTCAAGAGAATAATGATCCTTTGTAGCACTTAACCACACACTCTGCGGTTTTATAATCATGAAGATGTCTGGGTCGTGCCTCCTTCACCTTGACTGTTGAACTCTTGCACCCCATTGTGAAACCGTGTTCTTCCATGAAAATAGGTATTTTAAATATTTAAACTGAGGACTTGATCAATCCGTATTGTGGAATGTGGATAGAATTTGGAGTATGAGATTGAAAATAAACCAAATCCAGAAATGACAATGAAACTGACCATTTGTATTAAGTCCAACATTTTCAGTTATTGTCATCAACAACCAATAACAGAAGTGCATTTCTGTAATAGTTCCCAAATTGTGTTCTGTGGAACCCTAGCCCCATGTCTGTTAACAGGGACGTGTTAGTTTGAGTAATACTACATCTCTTGGAGAGTCATAAGACCCAATAGTATATTTAAGTCTCGGAAATACTACAGTAAAGAAGTCTACCTAACTACGTTTTATGTAGTGTATCTCAAATTTATTTGACCATAGAGTTCTCTTCTTCATATAACATTTATTAAAAACCTTTGTAACACATTTTGGAAGTGTTATTCTGTACTACAAGAGATACTTTGATATCCACAATCTTATTTGATTCTCCTGAGTGCCAGTCCTCAGACAGACTTGATCCAAGACTTGGTACTGCTTCGAGGCTGAGCGTGGGTGGGTGGAGTAGTGGAGATTGACCTAGAATGGAGAAGAGCCATGGGGTAAACAGGGCTAGAAAGAGTGACCAAGGAGAAGAAACAAATCAACCAAATTCCAGAAGCTGTCTGTGCCGCACTCAAGAGCTGGGCAGATAGTGGTTGATTCAGGAGATTCATCCAGCTGAAGTTGTACACTAGGTCTGAGGAACACCATCCACCAGACAGGGGCATTCAGTCTTCGCTGTGTTGCTTCATCGCTCCCCAAACATCCTTTTGTATATACTTGCTTATCTCTGCTGTGTTCTTCCCTCAAATGCCTAATCATTTGTTCTGAAAACACATTGGGCACCATGAATTCAGAGGTTAAAAGCATAGTCCCTGCCCTCAGGGTGCTTCATATGCAGTAAGAAGGCCTAAAAGTAGACAAGCATTTATAATATATAGTGTAATAAGAGATAAGACCAATGGCACAGATTGGAGGAATCTTGAGGGAGATTTGGTTGTTTAGAATTTTTATCAGTTAGCTAGATAAGATGGGAGGGAGAAGACTGTAGCAGAGGAGAAAGTATTGTTGAGGCAGGTAAAAAACAAGATGTTTTGTACTATGGTATGTATTTGATCCAGAAGGCATTGGTTGGCACTGAGTTTTCAGCAGGTGAGCAACAGTGTGTGAGTTGCCATTAGAAAGCCCTGTTGGCTGGAGTGAAGAATGAATTAGCAAACAACTAGAACAGAGGCAGAGACGTGCACTCTTCCAGTGACCCAGCTTATAGCATTGGAAAAAGAGAGAAAGGAAAACATTCCAGAGACATTACAGCAAGACAATCACAGGACTTGCTGACTGGCTGAAATGTCAGGTTAAGGTAAAGTGGGAGTCAAAGATGACATGTTCCCCTACATTCCTTTTCGCCAAAAAAGAAAGAAAAAGGTTTTGTTGAACCTTAAGGCATATCTAAGATGTTTTTGAACTATTGGATCCAGTTCCAACTGCTGCTTCTCACAGGGACCACACTAGGGTGGAAGCATTGTCACTAGGATCAGTACTTGCATGGACGGTTAGGACAACCTTTCAGATTATAATTGAATTCCTTGTTCTTCTCAAGTCATGTAACACAGACCACATCCTGGATCCATCCTGTGATGAGTGCACTGAACCTGTCTTGCTCGGAGGAGAATGAAGAGGATTACTCCAGAGAACTTCCCGACCAGAAGAGCTAATGGTTTTCTGTTGGAAGCTGAACTCTGTGGTCTTCTGTGATCTCAGTCTGCATGGATGGTCTGAAACTAAGCAGTCTAAAATGAGAGTAAAACACACACACTACTTACTGAAATTGTGAAACGGAAACTCTTTATTTAGGCTATTTTGTAAAACTTTTTGATATAACTGTACACATTTACAAGATCAGTTGCCACTGTAGTAGTACTTTAAGAATAATCTAGTCATATTTTTAAATCATATATAATTAGATTTTATAATATGTATAATTTTTCACATATAATTAGATCCTTGTAATTTTACTATATAGTTCTTTATATCAAATAACTATGTATCAGATACAATAGTTTTTATAATTAAGACATTGGAAAATTATGTGGACATAGCGAAATACTTCATTTATTTGAGAATTCAGTGTTTTATATTTTAAACTTAGAAAAGGACTTGAGCAAGTTTTTTTGGGTTTTTTAAGAATCACATTTAGTAAACCATCTCAGACTACTGCATATAGCTTACATCCTTATGGGGCTTTCTGATACACAAAATGCTTTTCAGACACTGTTTTTACTTAAACCATGCAACATGCCTGTGAGGCAGAGCCAGCAGGTATTTTTATTCTTACTTTTCAGTTAGGGAAATAGCACTAAAGAGAAATAAAGCATCTTGTCCTGGAGCTGAGACTCACACCTAAGTCTTCTGCTTCTATGTCCAGGCCCCTTTCCCCCGCACGTTGCTGTCCCTGCAGAGGGAGATCCAGCCCCACACACAGGGCCGCAGATCTGCTGCTGAGGCTGAGTTCTGCAGCTATGCACTCCTGGGTCCACAGCCCTTCAGGAGGTGCGCTCTCCGGTCAAACATGGTCCCCGCATAACCCTACCGTTCCGCTGTAGGCTCTCCCCAGTTCTTCACCCCCAAACACTCACTAAGGACAGGCAGGACTGGGTGATGTTTTTTTAACAGGCCTCTTTTTCAACAGCTCACATTTTTCTGAAGTCATGGGGCTGGCTATCACGCATATACCCTACTTAGATTGCTCTTGACAGAGGGAGCATTTGAGGGGAGGTGATGAAGAGGGACATGTAGAACCTTATTTTCTATCAAAAGAAACATCCTTGAATTCTCCTGCTGTGAGTTCAAGACTGACTTCATTGTCACTGATGTCCCCTCCAAACTTATGATACTTTTGACTGTATTTTGTTGTAAGAATGCTGCTTGATAGTTTCTGGAAGGAAGGAGCCATTGACTTGGAGAGCTGAAGATTTTCTCTTAGTTTAACTATTTAAACCTGGGACTGGGAACTGGGGGTGGACTGGGAAGGAAGTCTTTTTAAATGTCCTGGACATTAGTTACCAACTGAATAATAAAAAGGGATTTATTCCAATCAAATATTACTATATTGTTAGGTAGTATACTTAGAAAGAATCGCTGATTAATCAGAATGCCCTAGTCCCAAACCATGCCTGACAACACTGAAAAGTCACTGTCACTCTGCCCTCTTCTCCTCCCCACCACCACGGCTCTAACCACCCCTCCTCCTCCACCTCCCTCCCTTCCCTCTTGCCCTCCCTCCCCACTCCTGAAATACAAATAGGAAAAAGGAACTCAGAATCTTGAGGATCACCTGATTTAGTGATTTTCAAACATCTGTTGATGAAAAAGATTCATTTTTCAATTGAATTCTCATGCAGAATCCCAATATATGTAACAGATATTTTTAAATATTGCTGCCCTGCTTGAAACAATATTGAGGCCTGGAGCCCATTAAAGCAGCCCCCAGCACAGCTTGTGCTAACCTGGAGCTCCTTATAATATGGTGGAAGGATCATCAATTGTCACCATTTTATGGATGAGTAAACTAAGATCCTAAGAGTTCACATGCTAGTGGCTGGGTCACACAGCACCCATGTGTGGAAGGTGGGGTCGTGAAGTCCATTGTCTGAAACCCCTGTGCAGAGAGCTGCTTAGATCGGTTGCGTGTGACATGGTGGGCAGAACAGGGGTCTGTGGGTCAGTTTTACAAAGAGGCAGATCCCAGTTCAGGGCGATAAGGAACTTGCTGGTAGTTGATCTCATCAGGAACGAATGCCTCAGGACAAGGGAGCACTGTCCCAGGAAGTGTTCAGGAAGACTGAGCCCTCAATCTGAACTCCATGGGAACGTTGCTGAAGGTTCAGCATCCCAGTTGGCTGGACCGTGTGAGTGCTGTCTGAGGTCCTTCCTCTTTATTCTTCTGTGACCTCTAACCCAACAGATAAATGCCCCAAGGGGGGCTCTAAGAAACATATGGTGGGGACTCATTAAGAATCCTTATCCAATGCAAACAGAACCATAAGATAAATTTTTGATGAGTTGACACTTATATAACTAGTCTTTCTTTAATGTAAAATCAATCCTATTGATATGATCACTATTAAGTCTTCTGTTGATCCACTGACTCAGATTTCAGGGTTATAAAGAGTGACCAGGTGTAGTCATCCTTACTCATTTATTCTCAGAATATTTACTGAGCACCAACAACATGCCAAGCATGGTGCTAGGCACTGTGGTGATGTAGAGAAGAAGTAGCTGACCATTTCCTGGATGTTGCTTGCCGTTGGTTAAAAAGCAAAAAGCTTCTCAGGTGGCCAGAACTGAACGGCTTCTCTTTGATTTCTGAATTTTAAAAATAACCTGCTTCAATTTAAAAATGTCATATAGAACTGAGTGAAGTAAAAAAGAAAATAGCCGATCTGACTTTCCAGAGGCAGCCACCACTATACTTTGATGAGTATTTTTCCTTAAAGCAAGTCATATGTTAAGCAGCTTTCTTTTGACTTAAGTATTGTGGTCATTTTTTTCATGTCAATACATAGATTAATGTCATATTTCAAATATCTGCATAATATGTCACTATCCTGATAACTACTAATTTCTGTAGCCAGCAATCTATTGATGAACATGTAGGCTGTTTTAAGTTGGCTTCTCTTACTAACAATGTTGCAGTGAACATTCTGTGTGTCCATTAAATCTTTTTCTTCGTGTCTGTGCACTCTTCTGCCAATATGTCTACAGTGGGAATACATTTGTAAGTAAAAATACCCAAGTCCAGGGTTCGTACATTTTAATTTGGGTAGATATTCATAAATTCTCAAAAACAGGACCATTTTACACTACCATCAATACTGTATGGGAGCTTTTTTTCATACATATTACAGGATTTTTTTTTAGTTCATAGATTGCCAATAACTCTTTTCTGTTTTTGTTCTTAGAAGACTAATCCTCTTTCCATCATCGTCAAAGGTCCTGAGTTTCTTCATCATTAGGTTTTAGTTGTCCCTTAGCAGCAAAGACTGCAAAGACTGACTTGCCATATGTTGAATACATCATTACTCTCATCTTTTTACTTGAAAATACTGACCTCTCCTACTTTATATATAATGGTGGTGAGGACCAACTTTTCAATGATGTGTCCTGGGTGAGAACCCTTGATAAAGGCAAAGCACAGCATGTACAAATGCACCTGCAAGTTCTTTAAGCCTCAGTTTTCCTGTCTAAGAATGATAGTAATACCCTGATTCTTCCCAGATCGGTTAACTCAGAAACCATTCCCTGACTACCTGCTAAATGCCAGACAAGATGCAAGGTCTTCAAGTTGCCATGGTGAATAATTCTGATTCCCAAATCAAGAAGCTCATAATCTAAAACCTTTCTCCTTTCTTTTTTTTCAAAAACCTTTATTTTTTTCTTAAAGGAGAAAGAGGTTAAGGGGTTGTTTAGTAAGAACCCCTGAGGAGAGACCCTTTTTTACTTATTAAATTTCAATAACTCCAAAATACTATCAGTGGCACCCTTTGACTAAAAATGAAAGCCAAGGAACATATTGTATGAAGGGCCTCTCATAACAAATGCTAAGCAGCTGTGAAAATAGAGTCAAATGATACTTTCGTAAACTGTTTGCAAAATTAGAAAATATTATCTTTTTTCTAGAGGGAAATGGGCATTTTTATTTTCCCTGCTAAGCGAAATGCAACTTTTTCAAGGGTCAGCAAACTTGAGTTTTACAATACATAGAACAAAAAGAACTGAACTACCCAAACAACTTATACACACTATCACCTGTAAAGTTTGAGAAGGTGGAAAGAACTTTAAATAAAATATGCCTAACATTAGAAGAAAACTAAGATGTTTTAACCACAGCTGTCCACATGTAATGTCATTGTGCCTGCATGATGATTATGTAAATATTAAATGGAATTGTTTGCTTTCTTCATATGACTTTTTACATTGAATCAATACTACTTTTGCTAATTTGTTTTTTAAGTTTGGTTTTACTCTCAGGGGCAGGGGTGGTCTGAGGGAAAGTATGATCAGATTAATAGCTCTGACACCCCCATTCCCATTCCTCCATCACCTAATTATTCTCTATCACTTTACCTTGTTCACTCCTTTTACATTATTTGTCAGTTTTTAATTATCTGTTTATTGTCTGCCTTAATATTGGGAGTAAGCTCTGTGAGGGTGGGGTTTATCTGCTTGTTCGCCACTGAGGAGGATCTGGCGTAGTGCCTGTCACATGGTAGGTGTTCAATACATACTTGTTAAATTGAATATGTAGTGTGCTGCACATAACTAAGATTTAGGCCCCAGTTTAATTCTCATGCCCTTGTATTCATTTATTTACTTAAATTCTTAACCCAGTGCTACTAGCTCCCAGACACTTCGCTAAGTACTAAGGTCACAGTGCAGAGCAGACATGATCTAGCTGCCACATGATTTATTTTTTATGCAAAGGCATTCAACTGAAATTAACCAAAGTGTTTTTCCATTTAGTCTTTCTTCTCCTTCTTAATCCCATATTTGAATTTCAAGGACTTTTGATCTGTAGTGTTTTGAGAAAGGGATGTGACATCAGAAAGCACTGGAACACATGCTTTTCTTGAGTTTCAGAAGTCTGGCTCCTTAGGAAACTAGAAAAGATTCATGGTGCAGATCAGAGATCGGAGAACATGTATGATGCAGAAGAGCAAGGCTTTCCTGCTGTCTATCTAGGAAATAATTCCCCTGGTGTGGGAGGGAAATAAAAACAGAAGTGTTGGTGGGACTCAAGGGAAGTGCCCGGGCCCCACATTCTGGGCCACTTTCCCGGAAGCAGCAAAACCCCAATTATATCTGTTAGTTTGGAGAACAGGGGAGACCCATTCTTCACAATGCGCTAGGGTGGAAGTGATCGCATTGTGTGCCTGGACAGATGACGCCTCGGACAGCTTCAGTGGGCTCTCTCCAGACAAGTGTGGCCCAGGTCGGGCGGTCACATTGATTTCTGTGAACCTAAAAGGATCACAGGAGTGACAGGAAGACGCACTGGACCTATGTAAGGAGTTTCCATTCAATCCACATGGCCTCTTAGTGGACCCAGTTTGGACAATGACATCAGACCATCCAAACCCAGAGTGCCTGGGCACCAGGTAAGCCTCCCATAGGTTAGCAGTGATTCCAGAGGATAGAGAGAACTGCAAACTGACTGAGATTAGTGTTGGTGAAGATCACGTAATCCCTACCCCTGATGTTTCTTCCTTATGGAAGGAGCTCCTTTATTACCTGGATAATTGCAATGTAGTGGTACCTTCCCACCTCTCTCCCATACCTTTACCCATCAGTCTACATACCTAGACTGTCAGAATTCTCTTTCTGAAACAAATTTGAGTCTGTTGCCCCCCTTGCTGCTCATCATTTGGTCCGTAGCACACGCCATTATCAGACCCCTTCCTCTTTCTCTCCAGTCTGCACAGCCATTCAAATAGACTGCTCTGTGACTGGGCACCTTCTGCCTCATTCCCTCATTGGATTCCTTCCCATACCCTTCGAGATAGCACTCTCAGTTTACCTCTTCTGTGAAGACCTTGGCACATGCTGCCTTCCCCACACCCAGCAGTGGCCCTCTGCAGCTGCCCCCTCTGCGTTCTCCCATACGTGGCCAGCTCTTCTGCCCATTCAGGGGCGGTAGAGCAAGAACTTCTACACCAAGAGGAGTTGCTGACCTGTTTGTCCAGACATGCATTGTGTTACTACATTTATTTACTAATTTACTTTTATCTAATGTGAGTTACTGAATCTTTCAGGCTTGAGATATGGCCCTACCCTCTCTCTTTGTGCTTTCTCTCCCCATGCAGTAACAAAAACCAGAACTCTGGTAAAAACCAACTAGTCTTTCACTGTGGCTGTACCATTCAACATCAGCCAGGTGAGTGAATCAGGTTGGGAGGCAAATGGGAAAATAGAAAGGTGGCTCAGGTAGTTTCGTAGTTGTTTGCATTGGGGTGCCTTTGTCTAGAACCCTAGAGGGTAAGGTTAGTTGGGAGGAGTGACACTCTAAAATCCTACCCTATTCTAACACAGCAAACCTTTTAATAAAGCCTCTATCATAGTATATTTGAAATTAATTTGGATGGGAAAGGGAGATGTGTGTCTCTCCTACTAGATTTGAGCCATTTAAGTCAGAATCCACATATTATTTTTATCCCTCACACAAGACATGGCACAGTAATAGTCACTGGATGTTTACCGAACAAATTTTAAAAGTGAATCATTGTTTGCAAAAACTCTTTTAGCTGTTTCTTGTTTCTGGCAGAGAAAGACAAAATGAAAAAAGAAAATGAGATAGGAGTTTAACTAAGCATGTCTACACTAACCAGTTCTACTAACATTGGAACAATATAATGGATTTGCTGAAGAAGGAGGTGTATGCTGAGTAAATCTGACCATAAAACTCACAGTATGATTACAGTGGAAGGATTGTAAAGCACTGCTCGAACATTGTTGATTTGCCCAAGGTTGTGAAAAAAGACAACAGAATGATATTGGTACGGAAGGGTAGATAAAGCCTAAAAGCAAAATACAAAGTTACTGCATTTCAAGGCAACCAAACTTTGGCTCCTCTAGGTTAATGAATCATGTTGCTGAAGAATTGATGGGCACAAGGGAGCTGTGTTTTGCCACAGTTCTCTGAAAGTGCAGAAATTATCCCATCGATAATGAAACCCACCAGAATTGCTTGAACTGTTGCTGTTTCACAATAGACAAATTCATCTTTCATCAGCAAAATATGGGAAGGAAAAACAGCAAGACAAAACAAATTGGGTGGATAATAAAGTTGCCCTGGCATATAGACATTTCAGGTATTTCCCTGAAATGGAATATGGAAAGATATTTGTAGGCAAACCGTATTTCTATATACTGAGTATATACTGTGCATTTATCTAATGTGATCCATGCACTTAATCTAATACCAGCTTTTAATATTCGTGTGATGATCACATAGGTTATATGTCATTTTGTGATCACCACAAAAAATAAAATAGACAATCTGGAACCAAATTAAATGCATTGATTCTTCTCTGAATGGTAAGTGCTCAATACAAGGAAAATCTTAAGGAAATAGGATGCGTGTGCACACACACACACACACACTATATATGTACATGTGTGTGTGTGTGTGTGTGTGTGTGTATATGTGTGTGTGTGTGGTGTGCACACTCTGGAGGAATAATAAAGTTTTAGTAGACTGAAGTCTACAAAACTTCAAGGGTAAGACCACTCACCAGTGGAACTCCTACAAATCATAGGTGAGATGTCTATGAAGTTTTTCTTAATTTCCTCAATGTTGCTAAGGCTGTTCATTGATTATATTTCTTCTGTTTCTTTGAGTTTCAGATTAGTATTTCACCAAATTTAAGACCCCATCAATTATAAGACTCACCATTATTTTATGTATCATAAAAAATGAAAAAAAGCATTTAAAATGTTATATAGTACTTTGAACTTTTGTCTTATGTAAATCTAAGAACTGTTTGAACATAGATTCTTATTGTGTGTATATATAAAGTGAAATGCAAATAAATTGTGATATTTCCAAAACTTACGTAGATTCAGAATGGAACTCTTCTGAATCTCTTTTTTGAATCAGAATTACCACATTTTTCACACTAGCATCCTCTCTGCCATCAAAATGAGAAGGCCCTTCTTCAAGGAGGGCTCCACCTCGGTCTCTGGGAGTTTTCTCCCCAAGTGTTTGTCATCTGTCCTGCAGTTTTCAGGCTGGCAGTTTTTTTATCTTTTCGACAGGATTTAACAGAAGATTTTTAGACAACAATCAGGATGCATATTCCATCTTCAAATAGTCCATAAATGCTTTATTCAGTGGAAAGTAAAGGAATAACAGTCCATTCATGCCATGGGAAAAACACCCAAGTTCATGCAGGCACACACAGACAGCTGTCATGGTCACCTGGCCCGGAGCTGCCGCAGAACATCACTGCTGGTGAGACGCGTCTTATAGTATGTTCCGTTCCCCTGATGAGCACTCATGTGAATTAGGGAAAAAACAGTAGGGAAATAGAGAAATAGGACCAACACAAAGGGAAGTGGAAAAAACCCACACAAGGGTAGGGTGTGATGTCACGTGAAGCCCATGGGGGGCAGGCCGGGGAGGGCACTTTGGCTCAGTCCCACAGGGGAGCCCCGGAGATGATGTATGTCTGTCCTCAGCTGTCCAGGTCATGGCACAGGGGACTGGCAGTGCTTATACCCCTGGACCATCAGTCATTGGCTCGGTGTGGGAGGCCTGGGAGGGAGATGTAAACTTCCAGGTACTTACAGCTCTGTGTAGGCAAAGTGGGTTCTTTCCTGCAGCCCTCCAAAAAAAGATACAGGTGCCAGATGTTGGCAGTGAAAGCACACAGAGCTGAGGTTCGTGAGAGTGGTACCAGAATCTGAGAGCGCTGACAGTGTCTGTTACGCACCCCAATTTCAAGGACATTTAAATGTGAAAAATGTGTGCCTTACACAATCGATGGAATATGGTATTGAGGATCAAATTTCTTTGTTCCTGGCTCATCCCATAGCATCCTTAAAATTGAGTTAAAGATGAAATGCCTTAACAAATGAAAACAGAATGGCCTTTCTGAGAAAGTCTTTAATTCAATCAAAATTATTGTAAAATCTATTCCTAAAAAGAAAATAGTTGGAAGAAATCAAATAATTTGTACCCCCACACTGAGGAAAGTTGAATGTCTAAACTATCCAGGACAGATAACTCTAATAATCTTTTCAGTGAAGTGAATCTTTAAGGCTGTAGACAATTCAGACTCTCTCAATAATCTATCCCAGTATTGCCTTTTCTGCCAGTTTCAAAGAAATTGGAAATAAACCTCCCCATCTGTGGTATGACACATTCCTACAATTATTGGTTGATCACTTAAGATATGATTTTTA